CAACAATAACTATGGTTCGTTCCTCATTACGGCAATTTTCTATTTTTAGAACTTTGCAACCCGGAACAAAGGTGCAACACTTGTGAATGCGATCAAGCAATGAAATCATTTCCTTTATGACTGAACTACTGTTTGAGCAGCCAATGGCGAGCAAATAAGATACCAAAGTCGATGAAGCATGACATTGAATATCCTCTAGGTAACGCGTTATGAAAGATAATACTTCGACAGTCCTTTCTATAGTCAAACACAATCTTTCAATTATATTTAATAAATCTTCCAAGTATTATTTAAAATCTGAGATCTTTCTTTGCTAATTTTCTCTTATTCCTTTAACGAAATACTTTGTCGGAAGATGCAGACATATTCTCTATAAAGTAGATCATTCATCTTTTCCTTTAATTGCAATATCAGGTCTACTTACACAATTATCACGTCCTTTCAGTATCTGGTTTTAAATTTTTACACTTTAAAGTATCAACATTTCTTCCAGTGTACATGCTGTCAAGTTTTATTATGCTTCTTAATACACTCGCTAAGCACAAGGACAAAGGCCCTCTGCTGTAATAGTGCGGCCCTTTGTTTCTGATTTCATCCCTGCCCAGTTAAGCAACGGATGGGTTTATTTATTTTTTAACATCAGAATCTGTTCTGTGGAGTGCCAACTTTCAATTTATAGCTTTTTGATTCTATGTTAAGGTTCTTTTATAATATTTATAAAGTTTTAAGCAATGCTTAAATAAGCTCATAACTTTCACAGCCTACAGCCATGAGCCTATTTACGCCCAAATCTAAAAAAATCTACAAATCAAAGCAATTTTTGGCGGTACAAAACTTCAAAATGATTTTAGGAAAAAGTTTTTAGCATTTAGAAAAGTGTTGCTTTTTTAAAGCTATTTACAAATTAGAACATTAACAAACCAATATGCAGTTTCAGACATTAATAAAACCCAACTTAGAATTTTGCTCTGAATGATGAATCTACAAAAAACACAGGTATCTTATATTTTACACAATGTACAAATACAAATATTTCTGTACCATAATCAGTTGTTGTGTTATCTTTGATTTCTTTTGGTAAATAAGACCATAGAAAGCAACCTTTATGCAAAAATATTTCTGTGCAAAGTTTCATGGTCTTTACCATTGGAAATTTCAAAAGATTCTTATTTTTTACATTACGGTGACTATCATTTCCTATCATAATTTCTTCATAAGAACTAATTTAAACTTTTCTTTGCTTTGTGTATTTCAGTTATTTACAATTCTAGGTTGCGCTGTTGAAAGAGCATTCAAGCATCAACAAATTAATAATTGTGTGGAGAAAATGCTGGCCTAAGTCACTCTTTGACTTGCCAATTGTTAAGCTCAAGATGTACGTGTTAGACAGCTTGAAAGGCCACAAGCTCGAACACAATCTGAATGATCTGCTTACGTTGCAGAACACGTTTCCAAACCATATTAACTAAAACGATTTTAAAACAATAGTATTGCATCGAGAATTTGAATGCAAAAGCAGAGTTAAATCGTGAGTTTTAAGTTAGACAATCTTAATTCTATTATTTTATCTTGGGTGTTAGAATGATACTTGTAATTGCTTCGAAACCGAGAAAATTGTTTAAAAGTCTCTTACTTTCAAAAACAATGCAGATCAAGCAATGTTGATTATATATGATAGAAGCTTATTAAAAAAAACAGCTAACCATATTTTCTTCAAAACAATTTTTAGATTACATGTAATTAAATTGCAGTGTACTTTCTTCTGCTCTTATCTGAAGCCTGCAATCGTGTCGCAAAAAAGAAGGTTTTAATTAAGAAAGTGTTAATAATTTAAGATCAAAACAGTCTTAAGTTGCTTTCAATCAAATGTAGATGTCGCTAAAACCCAGGAAATCGTTAGAAAGCATTTTGGCTTTTTAGCTTCTCTCTCTCTCTTAATCAATTTCTTCTTCATCCCTCTCCTTCGGTTTTGGCTTCTTTCTATTGCTTCTAGAAACAAGTTATCGAAACGGTTAGTCGGCGTTGCACTGCAGATCTTGACTGCAGTGAACCTGGTCGGTTGATACAGTTCAATTCCACACGATATATAAAAGGAAGGAGCTTGTATTTTGAGGTAATCAGTTGAAACAACACTGCGTCAACTGCAACACGATTCATCTTTTCTTGTACATTACTGCAAAGGTGATGTTACTCTACGTTAGAAATTTACTAATTGAAAAATGGTACATTCTATTATTTTTTAGGTAAAAATCATTAATTCACCTCTTCTTTCCCTTCCTCTTAAACATATGAGAAGAAAGTTTGGCAGGAGTGATTTCATATTATTGTAGAAATACGAAATGCCATCATTTAGGTTTGGGTTGTACGAACGTTCACAATGGTAGCTTTTTGTTATTCCTGATCACTAATTCAACTTTTTAGTTGATTTGTTATCCTGATAACACCCTATTTGATTACATCTAGAACATGTCACCATTGTCATTGCTAATCGAAAACCTATGTTGTGTTATCCAATCAGATACTATTTCTCAATTTGGGGTTATGCATTCTTTAGTTTTGACGATTTCAGCTGTCTGGGTATGAAAAAATTTCAGAAAGCTATTGCAACCAAAAAATTTAAGAAAACAATTGCAAATGTATATTTATGAGTAAAACTTGTTTTTGAGAGAATTTTTTACTTCTTTTACACTTTTATCTCAGAGTCAATAGAAAAATATCCTGCTATCGACACAGGCTAGATAATAAATATCACAGTACTGTTTGAACTATCGTCAAATATCAGAAAAACTCTTTGAACTATCGTCAAACAGATTTAAGAACATCTGCTTCTTTAAGTCCTCCCAGTTTTATTTTAAGGGCATGTCGTGGCCAAGCTCTCTTCTAAAGAATTCCACCTTGTAGTTCCACCTTAGCAAACTATCCTATATGTATGCAACATACTTAGTGATGAATTAACTCTTGGTCTTTCCGCTTGTTGATGTTATCAAGATAGCAATAACAGAGTTAGCAATAACAGAAAAATTCAAAACGAGGATAAAGAGAAAATAATTGTTTCCTCTTCATAAACTTGTCAAATCCCCCCCCCCCTTTATTTTGTATGGACGATAGGCTTGTTTTGATTTTTCATGTTCAATTTTTGTTTATCGAACCACGTTTTTGAAATGTTACAAGTGTTATTAACAGCATTTACCTTGCAACTTCGTATTCGGGCTCTGAGTATTTGAGTAAATCAGTACAAAATACTTTTCGGTCCCGAATAGACAGGGGCTTTTGATAAGCGGTGGGGGGTAGGGAGGAAGTTGGAAAATTCACCCAAATAAATTAAGCGAGGGGGGGGGTGGTGGGGCCAGGCATTAGTGGCGGGTAGGAGCAGGAATTAGCGAGGGTTAGTTGCCTGTAATTAGCTGGGGGTATTTTTGTCTATTGATTAAACCAAATGATTTGTATATTGAAAAAAAATTTAAAGGAATGAGAAAAAAATATTTCAAAACAAACTGACAAAATTCTTGCAAAATCTAGTAAGTAACGTAGTCTTAAAACTAATTGATAATTTCTATTATTTTTTAAAAAATATAGTTTACTCTATTCCTGCCGACAGGCAGTGGCCAGGGTTCTTTGACTTTTCGGATAAAGTCCTCAAGAAGAACTTCAAACGTTACCTCGTTTAGTCGATGAGCAGTTGCGACAGCTGATTCGAAGTCCCCAACTTTCCTGGGAGAAAAATATAAAAAGGATTAGTGGGGGGTCCAAATAAAAGCAGAAAGGGGTTGGAAATTGATTCGGAAAAATATTTATGGGAAGGACGTCTATTTGGGACCGCAGAGTACTAGGGTATCAAAAATATTGCACCACCTTGTTCAAAATGGCGGCACTTTTTGTCAACTTTTTGACCATATAAACCATTTGAATGCGTGATTTGGGTGAAATAGGTGCGTTATATAGCAAATCTCGGCGAGAAAAGTTTGCAAATTTTGCTGATGCCATAGAAAACTTAGTTAGAAATGTATAGATTACGCAAAAACATGTTTGTTTGTAAAAATTTAGACCATGCTTAAGAGAGCAGAATTGTCAAATAAGAGGCGAGTCGCTATCAAATATTTATGAGAAAGTGGTTTTTATTTTTAAAAGAAATGTTGACCAAGCTAGATGCAGCCACACAACAGCTGTGGGAAATCAAAAAGATTTCTCGAGAGTGTTACAGTAGTAAAGAAACCTAATATTTCGTCATTCAAGCCGTAACTCTTCGTAACTTTCTTGAATGACATTGCACAAAACTGCCTTTCAATTGCTTTTTGGGAACGTCCAGGGTTGCGCAATGCAAAATCATCTTATGCCCCTTTTGAATAATGAGAATTTGGTGAAATAGTTTCTGAGACCGATTGGTTAACTTTCTTCAAGGATTACCTCTAAGGTATGTTGTTTATTCCGAAAATGGATCTGAAATTGTTGTATACAGCGAACTCTCGTCACCAATTTTTGCAAATTTTTCAGCGCCCCCACTACCAACTGCCCCTCCTTCAAATTTGCTCTAGATCCGCCCCTGTGTTTGATTAATATTTTTTCTATGATTATTATATTTTTATTGATATATTATTCTCAAGCAAAGTAAACAAGTATGCTCTATGTACACTTCTGCAGTTGGCCGATTAAAACCACCCAAGTATCAAGTATAAAACATTACACCTGTTATACCTTAGGTATTCAAGGTAGGACTGGTGCAGCGGCTTTCTGGTGGGGAAAAGTGAGCGTTCCTTGTCCATTCCCTGCTTGTATGTAAGTTGAGTCTATCAAGATGTATTGATAGGTTTAGGAAATGTAGCCTCAAGACCACCTTATTTGATGAAGGATGTGGCAGTGTCTTCTGAGGGATCTGTCGTATTCAGAATCCCTTTGTTGATGTTTTCTTCCCCAAATAAGAAATTGACAATATAAAATTTATAATTAACAACACCACAGCCACAGAATGTCGCCGCCTCGATCTGAAGTGGAGACTCCTTATGAAAACCTTGGAATCAATGCTCTGGAAACAAAGGCGTTTGTTTTCAGGAGTTACTGGTATTTGTGTTTGCAGTATTAACTTAAAGGCTGGTAGTTTAAGAAGCACGCATACCAAAGGTAAACGATCAGTATATGTTTTTGTTATTTCATCCTCCTTTGAAGTTAAATTAACAACCCTTGTATGCTAAATTTATGAAAATTAGGAAATTGCTGCTGATAAACATGGATAGTTTCGATTGTTAGAAGTAGGCCTATATTAGATCACAATGCAGATCGCTGCAGATTTCCCGATAAATGTTTATAAACTTCATGTTTAGCGACCAAATAGTCATATTAATTGCAAGGATCTGATAAAAGAAAGCGCTTTAAATGAACCAGACTGGGGTGATGAATACGCCAGAATGATTTATGATTAAGGTAGAGTTGTTGAGCCTGATATGGGTATCGATGGGAGCGATGCAGGACATGGGGCAACTGCCCCCTGTGACCTTTACCAGAGAGGACAGAAAGTGCCTTTTTGGTTGTAGTATCATGGAATTCTAGGGTCCAGCGAGCAGGGAATGCTTCATGTCCAGCCTCTGCATCTGGTAGGCATGTGTGAAATGTAGGTTTCCAGAGCTTTTGATACCATTACCCAGTGCTGAGAAGGAGGGGGTCACTGACCTGGGAGCCCTTGGCTATAAGGGCCCATAAATAATAACTCAATTAAAAAAATCGTAAGTAATAATTCAGCCTCTCCATTATCACAAACTGTCAATAATAGAAACAATAATGACAAAAGTTTATGAATGTAGTAAGATAGAAGTAGTTTGAGTCTTTGACTGCTTAAGCATTAAAGATATATGTTTGATATGAGTTTCTCATCTTTGTGGACTTGGGCTAAAGGAATAGAAAAGCTTTTGAATTTTAATAAAAAAATTGATTGCAACAGGGCAACTTACAGCAGAATGTAGGTCATACAGATTTACTATGTGGCTACCACATCTAATTGCAACATTGTGCCAGTTTTGATCGAATTTAGTTAATATTAAATGTTTCCATTTTCTAAGACTTTTAAAATTTTTAAGAAATTTTTATTTCTTTGCATTATGGTGTTAAGATATCAGTTAGGCTCAAAATATATCAAATAGCAAACAGAAGTAACATCCACCGGAGCAGTCTAGCCACCAGAGCAATTCTAGAATCCATCCTTTTCAAAAATTCCTGGAAGAGTATTTGCCGTAGCCCCTAGAAGCATCTGCCTTATGCATGCTTTAATATTTATCTTTCAGCCTGACACGAGGCCCATAAATCCTATTTGCAATCCTGTCATTACATAATTACTTGATCACCGGAACAGAGCCTGGCTCAAGGTGGCAACATCATTTAACATCACTCTTAGCACATAAAACAAGATAGGCAAACAGCAACAATTTATCTCTGGAGAATAAACAATATTCTCCTCCCTTCACTTGTGTCACAGATTTTTCTGTGACTAGACATTCAACATCTAAATACTTTGAAAATTGAAAAAGAATTAAGGCAGAGAAAAATGCCAAAAAGTTCAGGCACGGATCAAGACCAGTTGCACTGTTTCTCTGTGAATCTTTAATTTTTGTCTAAAATTTCAATTTTGAATTTTGTGGACAAATAACACCCAGGACTGTAAACGGGGTAAAGCACCCCGAAACCAGTCATAATTTTGGCTAGATCCACACCTGAAATTTCCAATAGTTTCTGAAGTTAAATTCAACATAATATAATTTGATGTTGTTTTAAGCCAAACTGTAAATTGTGGCAGCAAAAAATTTCTAGGGGAGTACCCTCAAACCACGTCCTGCTTCCATATCCTATCTTTTACTTGGCTTGCTTGCATATCCTATTATCTTCATGCCTTTGGTAAAACTCTGCCCCTCTTTGCCCCATCATACTTTCTGCACCCTGTGGTACAAGACACCAAACAAGGATAGAGCTGGAAAACCATACAAAATGATACCAAGGTCATAACAGATTTTACAGATTTCTTTAAGAAAATCGTAGGAATTTATCTGAGTTCAATACGTAGCTTATTGCCTGATTATCTGATGAGAGAGATGCATGATGATTGCATTAAGCCTTAGACTCGGGTTAGCAACTAAGAACCATCCTTTCATATATGTTATATATTACTTACTTCAATACCCTGTCAAACTATGGCACAAATAAAGTTGTCTCTTAGTGTTAAAGTCGTGTCAACTTAATCAATTACTAATTAATGTAGTCAGGTATGCAGAGGATGGCAATGGTGCAATCAAGATGCAGCCATGGTAGAGCTGAGGGGAACATCTAAATGCCAGATCTATTAAATTGTATACTGGAAAATATGTAGTGCCGGTAGCACCTAGCATTTTGGAATTATTTTTGTGCACCTGCTCCTAAGTTTATGGCTGTTGGTGCAACCAAGATTTTATCAAAATTAGCTAAACACTGCAAATTGCAATGTAATCAGATCCCATAATAAACCATTGCATTTAATGTGAAAATAACATTAAATGTGAAAAATTAACATTGTAAAAGAAACATATGATAAGTCATTTTTGCCCTTTTCTAATTAATAACTAGGTAAATTATCTGATTACTTTTTGCTTAATGGTCAAATGAGACATATTGAAACATGGTACAAAAACACCAAACAGTCATTTCCTTGAACCAAGCATTCCATGATGAGTGTTACTGGGAGTCCTTTGAAGCTTGTCTTTTTGCAGTCTCAGAAATGAGTTCTGTCTCAGGCTTCTTCACTTCTGTTTTTTCCTCCATTAATTTTGGCTTAATGCATGAAAATTATTTGCATTGCTTTATTTTGAAATGAGTTGAGCTTATTTTCTTGTGTCATTTTAAGTTTCAGATTCAATATGGTGCAATAGGTAATACCATTGAGCAGTAGATGGCCCATACTCATTGTGTCCAAATGATTTCTGATCTTTGCTTGCCTTATGTCTCTATTTTGATTTGTCTTTTCTGTCCTAGCCTTTGAAATTTGTATCTACTGCTCAACTTTTTTCTTAGTTTCCTAGAAGTTTTGAATCAAGTTCAATTTTATCTAATGCTTGTTTTAATTGATTCAGCACTTTTCATTTTATTTTCTGGGTTAATACTCAGGTAGCATTTGATTGTTTTTAGCCTTCTGATAGTTTGGTTTTGCTCTCCACAATTTTTTTCTGTCAGATTTGTTTCTGACTGTTAACACTTTCAATAAATATGACATGACTGATATTTCGCCCTTGCGTATTTTTCAACGGTGAAGTAGCTGAAGGACCAGCGGCAGCTTTAGGAGATGTCTTGGGGAATTCACTGCTTTCATAAGAAGGACCAACTGTAATTTCTGAAATTCTCTCAGCAGATGCAAAATTCTCACGAGACACTGTGCTTTCTGCTGTTCCTACACTCTCAAAACTGTTCTCATCAGCAAAGTTTTCAGTACAAACTTTGTCAAACTTAGCAAACTCAGAAGAATGATTTTAAAATTTGTTTAGCCATTTTACTGTTCTCTTTATGTTGTTTTCCAACTACCATGCAAGATTAGACAAATTATTTATTCAAATGTCGCACTAATCAATTTCTTAGTATTTGATAGATAATAAGTGTTTTATATGATATAAAATATTTTTTTGACTTTAAACGTATAGTGAACTTTAAACTTGAATTAAGAAAAGGGCTTGAAACTTTCGCAGCAAATTTCGTTTGCATTTTGTGTCTGCAGAAGTTTCAAGTTTTTTTGTTTTTTGTAGCCCTTTTGGGCCTACATGGAAATAATCTTAGGCCAGGAATAAGTCTCTCCTGGTTGTCATCAAATTATGTTCCAAACTTCTCTGTGACATAATCAATAAATGCATAGTTGGCTTCTATGGCTTCAATTTTTTGTCAATGGCATCTGTGATGTTAGTAATTCTTTAACAACAGCTTTCTCACAAGGACCCACTTGCTTCCCTTAAATTTGCTGAAGCCTCTGTCAGGTTACATTATTTTTCTTACAATGTTTTGGGGTTGATGAAACATAGATTGCACTGTTCACAATAGGAGCAAGTAGTTTTCACAATTGACTGCTGTACATTTGAGCATTACTGAAATAGCCAGGCACTTGAGAAAAGAAACAAAAAGTGTTTCTACCATAGAACATCATTGGGTTAAGCATATCATAGGTACAGTAGTTTTTGCCTGTCTGGATTCCTTAAATTGACCCTTGAAAATCTGTTTTATGCTGTCATAAATCATTTATTATCAGCATGTTTTTCTCTCTAACTGTCAGCTGATTGCATATTTCACTACCCTTGCGACCTCTTGCATGTAATTGACTACCCTTGCCAAACCTCTGCCTGCTATCTGCTATGTAAAGCTATGAGTGATATCAATCCCAAGAAAGTCTAAACAAAGGAATGTCACTCATGGTAAAGAAAGATGAAAGAAAAGGACAAATTTTGTCAAGGATTGGAGTTTTTGCCCTAATATGCTCTAGAGATGAGCATATGTCAAAAAGATATTTAAATTAGCTTAAAGGTGCATCTCGTTGGCACATACAAATTTGTGCCAGGTTACATAAAGAAGGAATGTTATGATAAAACAATCATGGTTACCCTTCTATTTTATAGCTTTGCATAATTCTGATCTATGATCCAAATAAAGATTTCAAGTCTTTAATTCCTAGGCCTGCCCAAGGCTAAGTTTATATTAATTAATGTGACAAGTTTACTTCAGCTCTTAATGAAAATGTTCTTGGTATTACTTCCTTACTTCCTGCTATCAGATTTTGAAGGTATCATATAATACTTTTAGCATCTGTTCTGAAAAGACCATTTACTTATATTGTGATTTTAATGTTTACAGGACAAACTGAAATGGAAACGGTTCCTGAAAATGAGATTTTTGGTATGTTCTGTTTTAATCTTACCTTTTGTTTTGAACTTTTTTATTTTCTATTTTTATACATATTCTGCAATTTTTCTGACCTGTAAAACTTTTGTCAAATGCATTTACAATATCTAATCATTCTATAAGGAAGTGATGAACGCTGGAATTCATTTAATTGTTAAATGGTTTAAAAGGTGATAGGTTAACATATCTTCGCCCTGGAAATTCTCCACCCCGTTGAAATTTGAAGGGAAATAGGGTCAATTTGTATCCCTAAGATCCAATCATTGCCATTGGACAGAATTTTTGTCCATATATTTGGATGAGACCCCAAGTTTATACTTGCCCAAGGATGTCGACGTTTAGGGCATCGAGTGTCAAAACTTTCACTTTAAGTGAGGAAGTATGTGTGCTTTATACAATCCCAAACATTAGCTGCATGTTAATATCGCGCGGTCCTCTAAATGTATTATTCGAAAAATATTCATCAAAAGCCATAGTAAAAGAAAGCTTTGACAAATAGATGCATTTTATTCCCTCCGTGCGCCGGGCTATCACTCTTTTTTCCCAGGAGACTAGCGTAAATATTTGCATGAGAAGCATGTGATTTTCACATCATAAAACTTTGGGGAGGCTTGTGAACAAACACCCATGTCTGACACTGCAGTTTTTCGTATCACCAAGTCATTTCTTTCACATTGTCCACATCAAAGTCAAGTGATCTGTTTTCTTTTAGCAAAGCATGGTGAATATTTTTCAGTTTTCAAATTAATAAATTTTTCATAAAGAACGATTTGAGATGTCAGGTAATGCTTTTTCAAAACAGGCCTATTAAGAGATCGTGGAAGATCAACTGTGAGATTTGCTTTTAATCTATAATAAAGTCGATCTTTAATACATAGACATTGACCATATACGAGCACAAAACACAGCCATAGTTTGACGTCACTCTCTTTTTCAGATGATAGATTCAGATGTTGTGTTCTTTTTTTTCATTTCATCTTTCTCCATCTTAACCTAGCTAGATTTTCACTTCTACCTTTCGGAGTTTACCTTTGTCGGGACTTCTTTGAACAGTGAGTTTGTTGGTTTCCTTTTACTGGAGGGCCTAATCTACCCCTATGTTCTATGTCTTTGTATCATTTGACCAACGAAGTTTCACAACCATTACTGATAATTGCACAAATAATTGCCCAAATCAATCGCAACTTTATTTACAAGAGAAGTAAAGATTATATTTTCATACAGGCCAGCCTATTTACCCACTGATATTCCCTCATTATCATCCCCCGATCACATTTTCTTCGTGTGACCCCGCCGCGTGATTCATAAGCCTAGAATTGCAGAGAGCTGGCGACTCCTCTCACTCTGGATGAAAGTTTGGTCATCTCAGAGACTCGAACCCCAGACCCTTGGTTCTGTATTTCGCGAGCCTAACCACTGAGCCATCCCCGTGCCGGTCCGTCATAAAGCGCTGGATCCCGTATAGGCAAAGCTGTACACGCTTTCGGTGTATAGACTAGAAGGATGGTTCTAAGTTGGTACTCCGAATTTCAAGCTTAATACGATCCTTAGGCAATTTCATCAGGTAAAACCTGTGTTTCATTGGTTGGTTATAAAACAATCTCGTCTAAAACTCTTCAGCTTGTTGACACTAGACTTGCCCTCTCTCGTGTGTTTTCACCCTGAAACTCCTTGGAAGGTCGCATTGTCTGATTGGATATATATGTTCGCAAAAATCCGGAAGCTTGTCGGTTTTGGTAGTTTAGTCTTTCTACAATTCATTTTCCAAGTATCAAGCTATTCTTTTAAAATTTTTTTGCTCTTCTTGCATTGTCTAACTTTGTCGTAATTTATGTCTAAATTTTTTTAGATCATGAAGCAAGCAAAGTGCATTTTTCAACAGACGTCAGTTTGAATACCGAAATCAACATTGTTTGTAAGAACAACGAAGAAATAGATGTACATATAGGGTTATTACAAGAGCACCATACATATGAAATACAATTTCAAGTTCCAAACCGGTTTCCCGATGGTTGGAAGCATCCTGAGGTTTTGGACTCCGAGTTTCGTATTTTGTCAATTGACTCGATAGGTAAGTAAGATTATCCGTATTACATTATTGCTGATTTTATAAACAAGTTAACTTTGATCTGTTTGTTGCTTTCCGGATATTGCACTCTCTGGTCTCCTTTCGTGACTTTGAAACGATTACGTGTTTATTGATCGTTTGTAAGGACATCATATTTTGCGTTTGTGATGCATTTATAATCCCTTAGCTGAGCAAAAAGCGATTTAATCATAATATGATTTTAGCTGATTTGTTTTACGATGGTAAATCACGTTTTTATGACGAGGAGTAAGCCTATTGGGTAATTTCCTTCAGGAATTGCTTATCTCATGCATATTATCAAGAAAAGAAAAGCAATCGGTTCTCTTGTTACTGTCAACAAAGTCCACTGTATTATACTTGACCACGTTTTTGTTAAAATGCTAGACATACTCGTGAATGGTGTTGAGAATAACCAAATAAGTTTGAATACTGCAAAATTTGAAGATAGATGAGAGGTTAGCGCTCGCTGATTGGTAAAAAACAAAGAACCTAACAAACGCATATTTCTTCCTCTAACTTTACTTCTTATCCAATTCTGGATATGAAATTTTTCAACTTGCGTTCGGTCACTATCCGATGTTTCCGCTTTTTCGTGCCATCTTCAGAGTTGAACAACGCCATGTTTTGAATTAGGATGTTTAATTATCCATTGCGCTTGACAACAGCGATTGTTTTTCTGAAATAGATCCCAAATGTGCGAAAATCAAGCCTAGGGTTAATGTGCGAAAATCAAGCCTAGGGTTAATGTGCGAAAATCAAGCCTAGGGTTAATATGCGAAAATCAAGCCTAGGGTTAATGTGCGAAAATCAAGCCTAGGGTTAATGTGCGAAAATCAAGCCTAGAGTTAGTTGACGATACCAAGTAATCAGATTTTCTTGTTTCCTGTAAGAAATTTGTACGAACTCAATTTTGTAAGAGAAGTTAACTCTAATAGTTTTCGGAGATATTTAAAAGTTCGGTTTACCAAGTCATTCAACCTGTAGATTGACGTCCACAAACAAACAGACAAACAGATTTTCATCATTTCACAACGAGTCAACTCAGCAATATAAAAATGTTAACTCGTGAGGATACGGCAATGCCAATAGCATTCTACTCTGCATATATATCTAAGAAATGAATTTTATTCAACAACTTTTGAAAATAATGAAGAATATCCTCTCTCCTTAAGCACAAACTAAGAAATGAATATCATGTTGTTTCTAATGATGAAAGAAACACTTATTGTTTATGCTGTTGCTGTTTCTTCTAGAATATAACCGCTATGTATTAGCTCTGCCCGTACTATTATGAAATTTATTCCATTTTTGCCATTTTTATCGAGATTATCATAAAACAGTGCTCCAGAAAATAAAGAAGACGAGACATACTCCCTATTATGATAACATGCTCGTGTCTTTGAAAAGCCGAAGCTTTGGAGGTGCCTTGGAAGATATTCGATTGTTTTTCCTAGAATCTTCAAGTAGATTGCAGTCTTAAAACGTATTAAGGAACAATGTTTCTTAAACGTTTATGCATTTAGCAAAGAAATTACCTTGAAGTTACAACGCAGCTTTTCTTTGTCCGAATTGAAGCTTATAATAAATCGTTAATCTTGTGTAGCTCAAATTTTGAAGAAAACTGTAGATTATTCGAAAATAACAAAATTTTGCATGCGGATGTTTTACATGAAGAATCAAAGCTCGTGCTTCAATGATTACACTATAGGGGTCAGCTCGTCAACAAAATTTTGACGTGAGAAGTTTTATTGTTGATGTGACAGGATTTTGAAATATTTTCTCATGTTTGAAGAAAATTACTTTGATATAATTAATGCTTTTGTAGCAAAGACCAACTTATGAATAAAGCAATTAGCTGTTGCACGGAAAATTGATTGTTTATACCAGTGAGTAAAATTGTTGCATTGAGTCCAAGGACGTTGATATTTTTGTGGAAAGAAAGCAGGCCGGACTGGTATAATCACTCGTGGGTGTTTATTCGAGATTTTTCAAAATGTTACTGGGCATAAATCAGCAAATTCCAACAGGATTCCATCGGTGGCTGAATCACTGTACTGGTTTCTGTCCGATGCGTATCTTATGTCTCAACTTGTGTCAGTTCTCTATCATCGCAACAATGAGGATTTGCTCATATTAACTTCATCTATTACCTGAAGCATGATCATTGACTTTTGTTAACCTTGTTTTCTACTCCTGAACGAAGAAGGGTTCAATAAGGTTCATAGCCGTGAATTCTATCGATTAACTTGAAGGAACTATGTCCTGATGAACTCTGTTCTGATAAACTACAGCTGGATGAGTTATACAATAGGTTGTTGCTTTATGTTCCAACCTGCAATTCTAAACATGCTGTCTAACCTATTTTTTATGTGAACAGTAAAAGGACTGGATATTGCGCCTTCAGCTGAAAGTTTAATGCTGTACAAATGAGATACTTGGTCCGATATATTAAAGATGCAAGGATCCATATATACATTAGATAGAATTTCAGCTAGCAATCATTTTGACCCTTATCATTTAATATAGTCTGAAAGATTTGAACGTAACATAAATATTCACAGTAGATCACAATCAAAGTATGTGTTTTCGTGCCTTTCGTTCAGTTATGTTTTTGCTTGTCACGCAACCTCATATCAAAGTAAATAATCCATAGCTTTTTGTGTTAGAAAACTGTGTTCGGACGCCTTTAGTCACTGTTGAACGTTTTTCATCAAATAAAGATCGGCAGATCACATTAATGCATGGCTTTTTCCAATTTTTAAGACGCCTTTGACAAGCATCCTTTTTTCCTCTAGGCAACGTCTTTAATGAGATTATCAATGTTCCACTTCATCGTCTTCCTCCAACAACAATGATCCACCTGTTCACTCAACTTCTTACTAATTATTTTAGTAATTGCCTTACTTATTAATCGGTAATCAATATTGTATCTACGATGTCTTCCTTGCCTTTTGAGTGTTTCAGTTTTGCTGGGTAATTTCAAATTCCATACAGAAGTAGTATTCATAATCCAGACTACAGCACCTCAATTCTTTACACGAAGACGTGCAAAAGATACTCTACCCCAGAATTCAAATCTTTTTAGAAGTTCTTATTACAAAGCGATAGTTAGCTATTTTCTAAACTACTTCTTCGTGCATTTTGAGCCTTAAAAGAGGTTTAGTGATTATAATCCTTTCAAAGGCAATCAAGGAAAAGATTCAGTGATGATGATCCTTTATACAAGTTAATTTGTTGAACATTTTGATTTAGCCTCGTTTGGGGTAAGAAACCGTGTGGGTAAAAAAAACTTCGAAGAAGAGAGTTGGAAATAAGTTGTTTTATCAGGATTTAAAAGGCAATCTACGAAAGATTGCTTCTGATAGTCAATTCTGTCAGTATATAGGAACGCTGGTTGATATTATTCCTATATTTAAACTTGATGTTGCGAAGTTCTTTAATGGATTTGCTGTCGTTTTATGATCTTGTTTAACGTGCAGAAAACACGGAGCCAGCAAGAGACGGTGTTGTGTGACCGTTGTGTCTTGATGAATTTACTGAACTAAATTACAAACAGGGCGTTTACCCATAAAACGAGGGGACGCTGCAAAAGTGTTGTTCATAACGTTACTGTGGGTACGGAGACAATGAAAGGTGTTAATGGCAGTGATACAATGGAAGACATATTACGGTTGGAGAATGGTCACTACAAGTATAAAAGCATTCATTGAAGTTTGAGCTCTCGAATCAAAATCAATATATAGATGGATATAAAAAAGAACACGCAATTGGAAGAACTTTTGAATGTAGCAGGTGAACTCCAAAACATTACATGCTGAAACACTTTTCCTCCGACCCTCCTTGGAGTAACTGAGATCAAACAGTAAGCAGAAGCTTATATTCAAGTGCAGATCGAAAGCAACGTGAGATCGAGAATTGGGCTTTTGCTTGGTTTTTTGCAACCGCTTACCCCTCGAGCAATTTAAATGTCCAGGTGATCAAACGAACTCTTTTTGTTAACACAAGTCGCTATATTTTATTTCAATGTGAACAGATTGCAAAACACCTCAATGAAAAGAAAATGCAGTGATAATAGTGACTCTTATGGTATTTCAAGGGCATGCTATAAAGAAGATTTTATAAAGAGAATGGTATGCAAAAATGGTTTGATGAAAATGTTCAAGAAAGACAATAGGATAGTTATGATTTGAAGACGATGGAAATGTTAAGAAGATGGTTTGAAAAGTATCTTTAGAAGATGCTATTTTGAAGATGTGATTTAGATTACAGAAATTGCGAATAAGGTGTCAAAAAGACTTGAACTAAGAGAACATTCGGTTAAGAAGGATGTATGATTTCGTGAAGATGTTGCAAAGACATGGCTGTGACAAAGATGATCTGAAGATATAGCTTTAAAGAAGAATTATGCAAGAAAATCATTTGCTCTTAAGATATATGCAAGATGTACTTAAGGCAATGCTGTGTCGTACTAGATGAAGGTAGATAACGAGAAAGATGCAATGGATTTACATTAAACGGAATGTCATGTGGATTAACATTCTGAAGAATACTTTAACTAGCATATCGTGAACATTAACTAGCACATTGTCAGACTACGGGTGATTCTCTTCAATGTGCTTGTAAATTTAATGTTTTCTAATTCAGCGACAAACTCCTACATCTTTTTTGCTGATGTACGAGCTAGCTCGCAAAATGCTTTCCTTCTCACTGAAAGATATATCAAAATATTTCTGTTCACGTATCGTGGTCCAAATTTGGCCCATTGTTGGGATATGGAACGCAATATTGCAGTTGTCATGATTTTTGTTACTTGGCTAACCATTGCAGAATCTATTTTGCCTTAGTGGCGATTGGCCCTTTCCACTTTTTATCCGTTCTCCATCTGATGTATTTTCCCGTGCGGTTTTTGCTTGTTAAGAGTGACAAAATTAATAATACTCAACCTATCATAAGGATTTGATTGTATTTTTCAAGTCAAGAACACCCGTCAATAACATCTTGTCGTATCTCATTGAAAGGACTAGTCTAGGGACGTAGAATTTTCATTCTTGTTATCCCCTAACATGTTCTGTTTTTTTTCGGTTTTGAGCAAATTCTCCCTCTACGTCTGAGATGTCGAGAACAGTTTGATATGTAGAATATTTTTACCTGTTGCTTTTTATTTTTGAAATGACGATAAGAAAATTAGAGAGGAAAAGGCCCACGTAATTTTCACAGCTTGTTAATGCTATTTGATCGTTTTGTTGACGCTGTTGCAGTCTTGATCTTACCGATCTTCATGATTTTTCACTAGAAAATGAGAGCTTTCAAGAATCATTGTGCGTCATTTCTGCAAAATTCAGCAAGCCCAGACTCGGTTTTTAGTGGGATTAGATTGTAGAAAAAGAGCGTTTTCCAAAGCCATAAAGTAAAAGCGGAATTATGAAAACGTTAAACCAGAAGTTGAGATTGTCGGTTTAGAAAACCAACAAGAAAGATTTTTTAAAGCAATCATCTTTTGCTGTAAGTCAATTAAACGCATCAATTATAACGCTCAAATCAGGCGCAACAGTTAACATATCTTGGGCTAAATTGAGAGTTTTATGCTGTCCTGGACAGAAAGATCGTCTGTCTAATACGTGATGAAATGATTATCGAACAAACCAAAACAGACTATATTCTAAGAAAATCATGAATTTGCACCATTCTGATGCGAGCTGAATTTATATACCTGTCTTCAAACTGGTAAATCTGCTAAGAATGAATGTTATATGCATATTCTCCTCAATGCTTTTATCTGAATATCCTTTGTCTGCTTGAGATGATATGACTTTGTCAGTAGCTAAACATACTTCCAGAATACAATACAAAATGATTTCTATTGAGAGACAGTGTACGTCATCTCCTTAAGTGTCTTCGGCAGTTTGTAGAACTAATTCTTGCAGCGTTTAGTCTCCAAGCTGTAAAATTGTAGAGTTGTCTTTAATAGCAGGCTACTTTTAATGATCATTATCTTTTGAACCTAGCTCTTATCTGTTTCATTTTGTCTGTAAAGACGTTGGTAGTTCATTACCATGTTACAATATCTCTGATGTGATAGTGGCAACAAACCAAGGTAGAGACTGGTACCATACTATGCTGGAATAGAAAGGCATACTTCAAGGAGTATTAAGAATCTAGGATTCCTAACAAGCTGTCTGCAAATTGCTAATCGACAATAAAAATCAGGACATGTAACCACTGCAACGTCTCATCGTCCTGTACTGTAGCTTCCGGTAATTGGATCAAGTACTATACACCTTTACTCCTTGGTGAAATAGATGGCCGAACAGTGGTCGGACGACCATCTCCTTCACTGAGGCTCTGGCACCCAGAGTACCACATTTGACCAGCTTCAAAGATCATTTAAAAGCCTGCTAAATCCAGAAGTCATCCAGAAAGCAAAACTTCATAAGATGTCAAACGAACTTAATAAATCAAGATCATTCAAGTGAAAAAAGTACCAAAAAATCGCACGATAGTTTAGAAAAAAATCAAAATCAAGTTGATCATATTCGCTCTTGATACTCACTATCGACTGTTGACCTTGAAATGCAGTAAGCAGTTTGTTGCATATTATGAACCCCAGAAAAGAAAGAAGAACGATATGTGCCCAGCTTTGATACGAACTTAAGGATACAGAAAGGTGATGTTCTTCCCATCAGTTTGAATTAGATGTTGCATCTTATTGGCACATTCCCGATACTAGTTGACTTTGGCATCTACTTGACTGACCTGACCTTGATCATTTTTCTGTTCTGGTGGCTTCAGTTGCATGTGGTATTTTTGCGAGCATAGTTGTCCTTGTCTCGTCTTTTGTATCCTACTGTGGCAAAATTCAAAGCAGTGCAGCACATGACTGTTAAAAGCTCCAACATCACCAAGAACGTTTAGATCCTTTTGATGAAAATATTGCTTTATTTGATTTCTGCAATCTCTGTCCCTTATTGTCAATTTTGAATCTTCCATGCACCGAAAGGTTTTTCCTTTCAGAACACTCCCCTCTGTTAAGTGGCTAGTTCCAGCATTGGTTGGAAGCAAAAATTCAACATTATCTTAGGTCCACTGAAAGCCTTATTGCCTTAATTGAAAAAGCTGCTTTCCTTCTCTTTGTGTCAGAAGGTTCTTTAAATCTAGTCAAAAATAGCCAGGACAAACTTTGCCTGATAGACGTGGAATATTTTAAAGAAATATCCTTCACGACTAGTGAGCAAGTAGCCATAGAGCTTTTTTGTGTCCCCTTATTTTCTAACAAAACGAACGGAAACATTATTATATGATCTCCTTTTAGATAAGAATCGACTTCTTGTCACCGTGGAATGGAGATGTACCATGGAGGGTAAATCAAAGAAAAGATTAACACTACACTCAAGAGATGGGGCTAAGCACATGAAGATATGTATAGATGCTCGTGTTATGGGCAAAACCAAAGGAACGCCAATGCTTAAAAACGGTATTAAGTGCATTCATGTCCCAGACGATACTGTGTCTGAATCAAGTGATTGGCAAGGATTCGACTAATTCTAGTATTAGTGCACTTTTAGTATATATATATATATATATATATACACCTTATTTTACTTAGTTTTGTAAAAAAGTTGTTACCTTGCAAACTTCTTTGATAATTTTTACTAAACATAAATTAGTTGAAATTTTCAAACTACGTAGAACAAATTCTTATAATGTGTACAGGGCCTTATACAACAGGTAGATGGTTGGCACCGGATTCAGGCCTGCAGTTTATCAAAGTTTCAAATGAATATCTTTGCCTCTACCTTTCCTCATCTTCTGCTGTGTTTCTTCTGCATTTCCTGGACGTCTTTTTCTTTTCGAGAGATCCCCTTGCTTTTTCTATTTCGGCTCAAATATCTTCATAACATACCACTCTGTTACCATTTGAACGACCAGTCTGATAATTCATTAAACTTATCCATTGCAAGATATCTTCTACCAGACATGACTCCTACTAGATACTTTTCTTTAACTTATTAGTAAGATTGTGTAGGTCCGATCATTTTCTGCAGCCTCTATCTTAAGTTTGTCCACCACTACTTCAATTTTCTAGTTAGCCATTATTTTTTTCATTGCAAGAAAGATCATGTCATGTACATGTCATCAACCACCTACTCGCGAAATTTTGCTCACCACAGCCTACATTTTCTCAACTGTTTTTCTACTCGCGACATTTTTCTCCCCAGAACATACCCATTCACCACTATTATGCTACTAACTATTACTGAGCCATTCACTACAACATGATAGCTTCCCTCTATTTTCCTGCTAACCTTAACGTACCTAGTCACAGCTATTTCCAGCTTATCACTTTACACATACAAATTGCCTAGGCTCTACCTACTGATAACTATTCTCCTATTTTACATGACTTACCCGCCACAACGTGCATACTCACCTCTGTATATGGATTCACCACTACGTACTTAACATATGTTAACACACCATAGAATGTCACCATAAGTTCGACTTTATCATAAATACTTAGTTGCTCAGTTGTCCTACAAAACGTGATGTTTCGAATTTCGATTTAAAAGTACAAATTCGTTCATTTCTTGTCTCAATAGAAAATATATTCACCATGCACTTCATTAGATTCTTCGTTCTTGTATCAATTCTTGTTCTTGTTCTTGCATATGAAAAGCAATTATCATTGTAATATATTCTAGGTAACAATATTGTAGGTTCACAAGATCAAATTCATGTAGCTACTAAAAATCGCTAGAAAGTGCATTTGTCTGTTCCAACAACAATCTTTCTCGCAACAGAATCCAGATGTTATCAGACTTACTTGAAACAATAGATTGACTTAATTAGATATATCAACGTTTTCGCCTCAGCTATCGCTTTTCAGTGTGACACATATGCTAGTCTCATAGAAGATTGTGATTATTTATGATAAATAACGCATGCGCAAAGATACCATTGTTGTGTTTATTTGCCTGTAGTACTGTCTTGGAATGTCTAAAATCTACAGTTATTCAACCCTAAAGATGTCAGATATTCGACTTTTTATAGGATATTTTTCCGTTATTGTGCTCAATTGTAACGCTGCTCAGTTTATGCTGGGTTGTTATCGATGAAAACGTAGTGATTGTAACCATTAGAACGACATTGGATCACCCAAATCTCATTTATCCTTTCGGCCAACCATTGAGAGGATAGACTGTCTTTTAATGGTCGGTCAATATTACGTCACTGTAAGGTATAGATGAATATATGTGGATACGCCTTTACAGCTTATTTTGTTCTGATTTATTGTTGTTAAGGGGCAAAGCTTTGCTCCGAATTCGAGTCTTACGCGGATACGCGGATACATAGCTTGTTTGTAGCGAGTAATACAAATAACATAAATGAAGAAACTACTCAAATTTATTCTCATCGTAGTACAGAATGACAAGGTATATAAGCTAAAATGTGTTTTGATCTCCAGGTTTATTTTGGGCTCTAAATGAGTTATAGATTAGAGGCTTCAGCATGGCCAAGATGTGCCGCTTTTACTAGACCCTTTACTGCTATTAAAAAAAGCCTCACTTGCAACAGTTTACTTCAAAGCCACGAGCAAAAAACTTCCTTGAATGTTAGTTTTTGAAAACCGATTTTACTGTCTAGCTAGGTACCCCAAATTATCATAATTTTTCAAATTTTTCTTTGAAACAATCAAATGCGAATCTAGTGAGTTATGGACGGGGAAGCACCCTGTGCTCATGTGGCCATATCTCAGCGAGTTTGTAACTCATTCAAATGATTTTTCTCATTTGGGAATATTTCGTAATGCTCTTCAAGGTTATATGTTCGAATTTGAAAAAACCTAAAAATTGATTATTGTTACGTCTTCACTTTTGGAATTCTATTCTATATGATACATTTTGCAAAGCATGTTTCTCATATTCTCTGTCGCTTTCTTGCATTTTTCTTGTTCAAACCTACTCATTGAATTATTTTCCGAGTATCTAAAGATTGTAGCCTAATTTTGCCAATTTTCACTGAGTTAAGGTTACGGTAAACGTTTCTGACACGATATTTGGTTTTCTCTCCCTAGAAGCAAAACTATTGACGCAATTAGATTAAACTATACATCATTCGATGCACAAGAATGTGGCGATTCCAACCATATCAAAATAATTGGCAAATATCGTAAGATGATACTTTCCAGGCAAATTTAGTGCTTAAATGAGTGTACTATTTTGTACCCTTGTGTTTGCGGCCAAAACGCATTGTAAAGTGGGGCCAAAATTTAATGATTGTGTTTGTATTAAAAAGGCCGCCACCATGGTTGGCGGCAAGAAAAATTTTAGGTTATAATAATCTAGGGATGGCCGGAAACTGCATCTAAAATAGAATTTGACTGGAGAAAAGCTAACGGTTCTATAGTTTTATCTATTTTAACGTTGACATGAAAAGAAAGGGTCTTTCAAAGTTTTAAAATTATCTTAGCATAACAGCGAATAATCAACCTTTTTACAAATGAATGAAACTAAAATATTTTTCTGAGATAAAGCGCTCGGCGGGCCGGGTAAAAACCTGCTGCGGGCCGGAATTGGCCCGCGAGCTGGAGTTTAAGAATGGCTGCTTTAGTTCATGCAGGGCCTGCCAAGTAATACGTGTTAACAATTATCCTGCAGAGTTTAAAGTGTCAGAGACGCAGGTACACTAAAGGAGGACCTGCTTAGATAGGGTCAAGCTTGTTTAGTGGTCAAAAATGAACTTGAATCTCAACTATTTCTCAAAGTACTAAATAGTAATACAATAGTGTTTTACTTATGGTACTAAAAATTTTATATCTTGGTCCTTGAAGTTAACGGCAGGTTGGGAATTGATAAACCTCTCATAAATCTTGTTTTTTGCTAGCTACAGTTTTTTTGGTGAAAAGCTTAACTTTCTGTAAGGAAGTGATTATACTGTTTTGTATCCTGCAGTTTTTTTGAGATTGCTTAGACGTCAATATCCTGATGCAGAGGTTTTTCCGGTTGACTGTATTTGCCAGATTCAAACAAGATGATTTTTTGCCATCTCATTTATTTTGCACAGTTTATCCCATGCACTCAAGGTGGTCCATCCTGTTTACTAGCTGTTTTAGATTTTCACCCATTCATCGTCTTCTAATGATAAGCAACATCTGTCTGCAAAGATTTCACGCGCTCATTCTCCTCATTAAGCAACATCTGTCTACTCAGAATTTTTAGATTCTTATCAATCCTCTTCCTGTATTAAGTACAAATATTTTCAGCGGATATCATTTCGTACAATAAACTTCGGCGAAAATATATCACATTTTTTTGAATTTCAGACAAATAAATTTTTGGATAATTGTTGACCAGTCTTTTGGATGTTTCAAGCAAAACTACATCAAATTACTGATTCACACATGATTTGTAAGATTGCTATTGAGCTTTGAAGAAACTTTGAAGAATTTCTGACTCCTGAAAATGTGACAACGTTAAGAAACTTTCAGTCCCGAAGTGGCTCAAAATTCTTAGGGACTTTTGATAGACAATGAGAACGATGTTGTTATTAATTGGAGTCGGTGATCCAATAAGATTGAAAAAACGACTGTTTTCAAAAATTTATAACTTGACGATTTATAGTTCAAAAAATAGATTTGAAAAATTGGAAAGTCGAAATTTTGCTGACCGTGCATTTTTCATGCTTCCGGAAACGCGACTTTGGGTCATTTGCCAGAATGTTCCGAAGGCTTAGAATAGTCAATTGCCTTTACTTTTATGATTTAAACATGGCGGCAGAAGTTGTTTGAAGGCCAAGTAAGCGGACATGTTAACATTAACCATTGTCTTAGTCCACCCATTTCTGAGTTGCTTTATGTTCTTTCCCTCAAGCCACATAGATAAAATATACGACTGTTTATTTGTTTCTTTATAATAGTTGATGCCCATATATGCATGTGCGAATGGTGAATAGAGTTTGCTTCAGCCAGTAGACCCAAATGGGCAATAGATAAGTGACGTGTTTGGTTATCTTTCAAAACCAAACTTATTTGATCATGAAATGCATTGTTTTATTTTTGTAGTTTATCAGGACCATACAACCATGACATTTGAAAAAAAATTAAATCAGAACAGGACTGTTTATAGAAAAAGCACAGTTTTGATAGAGGCTGGTTGACGTTTTTGCTTTACTGGCTATGTTTTCTGTGATTTCCACAAGGTTGAATCCTAGGTACCTTGCTGTTTATCCTGTGGCACGGTCTTGAATTATACTTTGTTATCAACGCAGTATCTACTTTTGATCATTAAATCTTGCATTCACAAAATGGCTATTTTTTTTACAAGGATAACTTTGATGTACAGTTTCAGAATTCTAAGGAAAACTTTTTGATTTGTCAATAAACCTTTTCAGAAGGTGCAAGATTACCACTTGCAGGCTTATGAGTATCATTTTCCTTCTCTTTCCCAATGAGAGCCTGAAGCTTTGTTTTTGATTGAACAAATAATCGACATTTACTTTCCCATTCAAGTACTTAACATTCTGCTGGTATGTCAGAGGTACCGCGTTATTATATCGGAAATGTAATGTTTCTGATCACTACTTAACACATGAGTCCACGTTTTAATGCTTGCATTGTGGTGAACAAGCTATTGGTAATAGATCCACGCAGAATAGATAGACCAGGCGGAGAATAGGGGAATGGTCGCCCGAGAGCAAAATTTATGGGTCTAAGTGCTCAATTCGAGGGTGCTGGTTTCGAAAATCGATGTTATACAGAGATTTTGGGGGGCCATCAGCCTCTTTTTCGTGTTTGAAGTCTCGTTTTGCTTAAATGAAGGTACTCAACGAGAAAACAGTTTGAATGGAAATAAGTTAAAATTTTAAAGTTGATCAAGCATTTTTCTTGTGCATAAATGTTTAAAATTAAATTTTGGTCTGTTAAGGGGGGTGCAAAAGCCTCGTTTTCATGAGGAAATTGCGTAATCTTAATGTTTTTATGCTTAAATAGACATCTAAAAAGTTTAATACATCTCTTGATGGGACTAATTTTTGAACTGTCGTCCATAGGAACTATGCAGAGCTATTCATTACTAACTGATAAATACTAACGGATCATCTAAATAAACATAGTTTAATCGCTTCAAAGTTCCTCAAGATCGCCTTCTGAGTCACTGCACACGACGCTCTAAATACAGCTCTTTTTTTACTTCAGCTTGGCTTAGCGAAAGTTCCCAGGTATGTTTTTGGTTACAAGCACCACACTGTCGATAGAATCCTCATTCGTCCCAACCATGATCTATCTACTAGGAAGCCAAATTGAAATATCAAACCTTCAGCTTGTGATGTTAATAGCCCAGTCTTTGAGAACTTCAACATGATCCTTTATAACTTTTGTACCCTCAAATTTGTGTGAAAAAATCACTGTCCGGCAAAAAAGTTGACTACAATCCTTAATAGTTGCAAGCTAAAAAGGATTAAACAACATTTCTTTGCTTTCTTCGCTGTTGTGGAAGCTGTTGAAGTCATATAGCACCTTAATGTCGAGTATCGACACAAGTGCAAGTGGATAAGACACCGTTGTTTCAAGATCAACACCTGTATCGTGCTTGTTAGAGTGGACAACTGAAGGCCAATAATTTCTCTCTAAAAGCTCTTTTTTCCTTCCTTTAATCTTCAGCTTAATTTTCACTGACGAATCCTTTAAGGCTGCAACGACTTTGTTTCCAGTATCTTTTGAAAAAAGAAAGCAAGTATTTTCGAGGGCACCATCAGTTCCGTCAGTTTTCGAGGGTACCGTTCGGTTTATTACTCTCAGGTTTTGGACAATCCCGACAACACTCTCAGGTGTACCAAAGCTCATTCGGAAGACCTTCGAGAAAGAGGTGGTCTCCTAAAAGGTTAAAAGCAATATAACAGGAGTTCCTCAAGGATCTCTTTTTTCTTTCAAACTTCATAATGAATCATAGTGCAGCAGAGCAGGAACTCCTGTTATATTGCAATAAAGAACTTACAATGAAGATAATAAGGCTAAAATGGACAATGATTCGAATAAAACTGATAGAGTTTTTATTTTTAAAGATTGTTGAAAAATAAACGGTCCAACTCCTCGAATATAAACCAAAGATACATGATTTGAGAATTTTGCTCAAGAGATTTCTTTTTCCATACTGGAGGTATCAAGCCAGTTTACTTCACTAAAGAGGTTGGAAATGATTATGTCATGGGTTTGAATTTGAACAGAATAGTGAACAGAAATGTGAAAAATCGATTGAAAATCGGTAGAGACTGTTTATTATATGGCCAGTAAAAACATCAGAATCTTACTAAAGGATTTCTGTTGCTTCAGCTTTTTTTATATGAAGACGAGATTACAGTGACCCTTGGTAGAAAATATGGCCTTTGCTCACGCAGCAAGTTTTTGGAAGATCGAACTCTTCTTCATTTGCTCGTTCATAGTGCAGTTTTTAGCTAGACCGAAAAGAAGACCAACGAGGAAATCCTTCAAACCATATTTTTTGCAGCCATAGACTTGAAAAGATCTTACTGACTGGCATGGTGTTTCGCCTAATAGGAAGAGGTAGACCAAAACCCCGCTACATGGGAATGACGGAGGCGACGAGACTGGCACAGGACCGGGATTGTTGGATAGACATGGTACACAGGGCCACGGCTGGTCGGGACCGACCAATCTGTTGATGATGATGATGATGATGATGATGATGATGATGATGATGATGATGATGATGATGATGATGATGATGATGATGATGATGATGATGATGATGATGATGATGATGATGATGATGATGATATGATGATGATGATGATGATGATGATGATGATGATGATGATGATGATGATGATGATGATGATGATGATGATGATGATGATGATGATGATGATGATGATGATGATGATGATGATGATGATACAGAAATTCTGAAATACAGAAATTTCCGTATGTTTTCTGACATACCACTTGTTGGATATTAACCTTCTTGGCCGATGATATAACATTTAATATTCTTACGCAAAGTTGTAGGGCAATAATAAGATTGAGCAATGCTTTATTTAGTAACGTTTTTAAAGCTTTAGAGATGTAGCCATAAAACTAGAAATAATAGATTCTAATTTGATTGATAACCTGGGTATGACCATGTCCTGGGTAGGACCTCAAACTGCATCCAGTGGTGAGACTTTAGTTCGGGAGTTCTTGAGCCTCGGATGGCAGCCCACCTAGGTGAAGGAAAGCTCCAATCTCAAATCCTGTTTTAAATTTATCATGGAGTGACCAGTTGAAACATGGCACTCTTTGATCTCAAATTTTGGTTATTTTGATGATAAAAAAGGTAATAACTGATTTTTAGTATGTGATTAAAAAGATCATTCTTTTATTATTGCAAGTCATAAGTATTTATTAGAAAGTAGTCTATATTGAAGATTAATATGAAATATTAATGTACAGATTTGGCTTTTCTTTGTTAACACGCAAAACATATATTATTCACGACTCATGGCAAATTCCTTGTTCAACCATGTGCTTCATGACAAAAGCGTCGTTTAAAAGAGCAACTTTAACGTATTTTTGTTTACGTGATGACAAAAATAAGCAAAACGCTACCTCGAGTACCTAAATAATGTCTTCGGGACATCAAGAGATTTCTGAAATACATAGAGAAAGTGAATATATGTTGAGTGATTGATGAATTCATTTTGTAATTATTTGAAATTTTTTGAAACGATTTTTTGAATGTGTCGATGACAGTGTACTCAAACTTTTTTTGCAGTGACACTTATTCAAAGTTCCGGCTTTTCGAACCAACTCTTATTTTCATCCCAGTCAATTATCACGTTCACGGTTTTATCTTCAAATTGAAACTCAGCTCCCTGGCAAACTTGCCTTTAGAAGACAATTTTCGTAAGTTCCGATATCAAAGTAATCACTAAAAGCTACGTAAAAGCAAAAACTCTAGCAAATTGATTTTTGCCATAATAATTTGGTCCTGCTTAGGAAGCACCTCAAGTGTTGCATATACCCTGATAGACACGCCTTGTTGGCCGAGTCAAGTCAACGAAAGAGGTTCTTCATTTCTGTTATACTTTCTGAGATATTAATGAATAATTATGGAGGTAAGATGCATGTTCGGGATGTTTTAGTAGCGAACCTTTGTATAAATTTCCTTTTTGTCTAGTTTTTATTCAGCATTGCACATTCAGATTGATGAAAATTTAAAGTTTGACGCTCATATCGATAAGATCTGTAAAAAAGCAGCTAAACAGTTAAATTCTTTAAAAAGGCTGGCAAGATTTATGGGCGACAGAAAAAAAAATTAATTATGAATTCATTTATACTGTGTCACTTCAATTATTGTCCATTGATATGGATGCTATGTGGTAAAGGAAGTCAGGATAAGCTAGAGAAAATTAACGAGAGGGCATTAAGACTAGCCTATTCGGACTATTCATCTTCTTACGAAGATTTACTTGCTAACTCGAAAGAAACTACCATACATGTCCAATCAGTTAGAATTTTAGCGCTCGAAGTTTATATATAAAACACTTAATCCTGTTTTCATGAAAGATTATTTTGTACCCAAAACAACAGGTCATAACCTTACACTCAAAAACCCCTTTGACATTCCAAAAGCCAGAACTACCAATAATGGCATCAGATCATTAAGTTTTCAAGGGCCTAAAATCTGGAATTCACTCCCGGAATCAATATACTAGCACAAAAACAGCACAAAATACTAGACAATTTAAGAATTTGATCAAAACTTGGTTCCTTGAAAACAAGTGCGCATGCTCATTTTGCAGTAAATGAACTGTCTTATGCAATCCTTGAAATTGCTTCATGTTAGTCTTTATTAGTGTATATTCACTATTGTATAAACTAACATTAAATAATCTACAATACAGTACAATACAATACAAGACAATACAATACAATACAATACAATACTAGGCAAAAAATGCGCTGAAATATAGCAGGAGATCATTATGAAGTTTTGCTTGGTCTTGAACAGGCCAGTAATGACGCAATAGACACCAGCAACCACAGCAAGTCAGAAGAGGAAGAGAAAGAAAAAAGTAATTCCTAACTAGATAAGCTTATCAGTGACACACTTTTGATATCAGCGCCTTTTCTGTCCTGGCACCCTCACTTGGATGGCATTTTCTACAGAAGCCAATGGTTTCTAGATTTCTTGTTGGTACTAAATCAAAAGCAAGAGCCTCCTCCGGTAAAATTGTACTATGTGTCAAAATCTACATTTTTTTGGAAGAATCGCTAACTGAAATTCACAATAAGCTCCAGACCTTTTTTACATGCAAAAAAGAGATTCCAAAATGAGAAAACCAGAGGGTAAATTTACAATTAGTAGTTTTGTTTACCTGGTTTTCGAAGTAACGCAAAATCATCCTCTTTTCAAGGCCATGGCAAAATTGTATCAGTGGTTTTTATTTGCTGCAAAATTTATTTGCAAAAATAAAGGAAATTTCAGTACGATTAGGAGCATTGCTGTCGTGAAATTGCTTAGAACAGTGCATTTTCCAGTGAACTAGAATAATCAAAATTCGAAAATGTTCTCTCCTTCGGCGTGATTCATTGTGCTCTCTCCTTTGTACAAATTCTCACAGTATAACAAACTCCGGATATAACAAACTCTCATTATCACGAACAAATTTTTTGGTCCCTTCCTCATAATTACCCTCGATATGACGAACTTTTCATAACTTTTTTGTCTATTTTTATTTATTTACTTTTTATGTTCATTTATCACTTTTTCTTGTGGGAAATCATTTTTGCCATCGGAAAACCATGCTGATGATACATTTCAAACCCTGACTGATAGATTCAGAGGACCAGACGAAAATTTGATTGCGTCAGAAATTACTGCGAAAGAGTACATTGACACTAATAAATACCTTCTTACATATAAGACATTGTCAATGACCAACCAGTAGTATTATTTGAATTCAGCTTGATTTTTGGAGTTAAATGTGCACAGTAGTTGGAGATAGCCTAAACAAGACCATCGCAGGCTTTTAGGCGTAAACTACGAAACGAACTCCCGATAGAACGAACTATTTTCTGGTTTCCTTCAGAGTTCATTATGTCGGGATTCCCCTGTATTTATAAAGCTGATATGTTGGTATATGGATAAATAAAATGATTGATATGTCATGATATGAAATGATATGAAATGATATGAAATGATATGATATGATATGATTGATATGATATGATATGATATGATATGATATGATATGATATGATATGATATGATATGATATGATATGATATGATGTGATATGATGTGATATGATGTGATATGATATGATGTGATATGATATGATTTGATATGATGTGATATGATGTGATATGATGTGATATGATATGATGTGATATGATGTGATATGATATGATATGATGTGATATGATGTGATATGATATGATGTGATATGATATGATTTGATATGATGTGATATGATGTGATATGATGTGATATGATATGATGTGATATGATGTGATATGATATGATATGATGTGATATGATGTGATATGATATGATGTGATATGATATGATTTGATATGATGTGATATGATGTGATATGATGTGATATGATATGATGTGATATGATGTGATATGATATGATTGATATGATAAATGATATGATATGAAATTCACGTTGGCAAGATAAAATAAAACTAGTTTATTTCATGATGTCTGGAAAAATAAATGATGAATAAAAGTTGTTAGCTGCCACATAATGCTCAAATTTTTAGGCAGGAGGCAAACCAAACATGAATATAGCCCGATATTGTTAAATTTGTGAATGCTAGGGCGCAAAAATTGTGATTCTCTTTGGTTCTATAATTCGCTTTTTGTAAGTAAACACGTTTTCAAGACTTGACAATTATCCCAGAAGTAGTTCCTCTAAAGAAACTGTCACAAAAATATTCAATATATACATCTAGAAATACAATAACGCTAGACATTTAAATAATTACAAAATAAATAGACAAATATTGTCCCTCTGTGTTCAATCGATATACAAAAACGTAAAAGAAAATCATTCACTCTCGCTAATGTTGTGAACAATTTCATGTCTCTTAACGTCAACTTTCCTATAAAATGACTTTGAACAAAAGTTACATTTATAAGGCTTAACACCCGTGTGTCTTCTTTTGTGTGTTAACATGTTAGAAGATTGGCTGAATGATTTGTCGCATACGTTACAGACGTACGGTTTTGAACCTGTGTGAATCGCATAATGTTTTCCCAAGTCAGACTTGCGCAGGAACCTTGTCCCGCATTTCTCGCAGCAGAACGCCTTCACATTTTTGTGGATTAGCTTATGATTCGATAGACTTGAGGACCTTTTCAATACTTTTCCGCAATCTTCACAGGTATATGGACCATGAACACGTTTCCTGGTAAACCGAGTGTCAATTCCTTCTTGTTGTTGTTGTTGTTGTTGGGGTTGCTGTCTGTTCAGAGGTGATCCAGCATGCAGAGGTAACAACACTTGGCGCCGCTCAGTGTTGTGGTATTCTTTCAAAAGTTCATACTCTTCCATCAAAATCCTGTCCTCGGCTTCCATTTGTTTAGATAACCATCCTCCTACAGCTCTGTTTGGTGTTTGTAGATTTTCCCTCGCCACAAATGCATGCTGATAGTGCTTCGCGCTCTTTTCAGTAGCCTCGACCCCATATCCTTTGGCCTGCATCAGTGCAGTCATCCACCAACACAAATATTCATGGAAGTAATCTGGAAGGAAAGGGAGCTTTTAGAGTAAGATCGTAACACTAAACACGCTGTTATTTATGATAATAATACGTTGACCTGGACACAACACCAAATATACAGCAAACAAAACACTGTTCTAATGTATTCACAATTCTTTTAATTATTGCATTCAGAGCTTTTGTATACATATGCTTCGGATTTGGAAGTATATGTAAGTCACAAAGATCTGATAAAAGCAATTATTTGATAACAAGTTATACAAAACGCTAAGAGTAGCTTCCAATATAAATGTCTTCATGAAAGGACCTGTAAACAAATTTAGTCTATCTAGGTTGTTTATTATTTAACCAGAGATTGTTTACCAAAGCTTATGCTATATCATGGTGAGCAGTGACGTCAATGGTTTTTGTTTACGATTGAAAAGGAAGAATTGAAGGCCACTTTGCTTATCAATGGCTTTCATAACGGTGCAAATCTGAGTGGGAGGATGCTGGGCACTACAAATCATTTGACGTCATACCATTCTCTATTCTAATGGCATTAAAACAACCTTTTTTGCTTTCCAGTTCAATTCTAAATGCCTATTTACAATTCAGAGGATGCCTTCAAATGTCGCTGTTGTATTTTGTTAATATACTCGGGATTGAAGATTGTTAATGTACCTGGGACACTTTGCCAAAAGAAAACGTATGAAAGTGGAAATAAATCTATTGTCTGGTCAAACAATGGCACCACTGAGTGTCCAGGTGACATTCGGCATGATTGGAATACCAGCAATCAGTGTATGCACAAGGGGCATATTTCCAGCCTAAGATCACCCTATAGGGAGTTTCTTAGTTTCTGATAGCCGATGCCAAATTTGTTTACGTCACACGAATTTTATCAGAAAAACAAACATGACTAAGCCTCAAGTTAGCATAGTCATTTTAAAAGCGCAATGAATCACGCCCAAATAGAACACGCCTTTTTACCGGAAGTTTTAATCCAGTCAACGATTTTGCCACTTGCCTGTGCTCAGACTCAAACTTGAGAATCAAAAAAGTATCTTACCAGAACTTTTTAAGTCTGCGCTGCGCAGTTTGCTGCTATCGAACCATCATTTCATAAAATATATTCCAAAATTAATGCACTTAATCAATGTACAAATTTTCAAAAATTTATAGGAAACTCCAAATCCACTATGATTACCAATCCTCGTCCACTATTTATTTTCTTTAATTTTTGTTAGTATAATCATAACAATTGGTAAATCATAATGATCATAACAAATGACAGATAACAAACTAATTGAAAACACAAAAAGTGAAACACGCTGCCATTTCTCACATCTGGCCTATTCCAAATAACACGTTTTATAACTAGTCAATCATAACTCGCCAATTTATAACTAGCTAATATTTCGAACTTAGATATGTTTTAAAAGTACTTCATTTAAAGAAATGTATTTGGTATGAGGAGACTTTTACATTACACTGTGTAAATAAAATATTTTTAGTCGAATCTCAAGTATCTGGTTTGAAAGTTGATACAGGCATCACAAGAGAATTAGAAGCAACGGAAAACAACTGCTTTGAACAATATGTCCATTTAGGCCAAAGCTTAATTAATGTTTTAGCCAGCACTACAGCGCACATTGACTGCTCTGCATGGGGCCTGGGAACTAAGAGAGAATGGCTTTGAAAAAAGCAAACATTTTACAAAATACTAAAAGCTTTTCCGTCTGACACTCCTCAGAGCATAAAACGTCAGAATCAGGGTCCGAAAGAACACGATGAAAAATATATACCCAGTTGTGGATCGAAATAGGCCAGTCAGAAAAACGCAAGCACAAGACCGGTATAGTTGACCAATCAGTGCCGTGAGCCTAAAGAAAAATTACCACTGGAATCCAAGAGAGGGAACTAAGAGAGGAAGACCAAATTCATAAGCTTTGCAAATTTGTGTTTGTCTGGTTGGTAACTGGCCATTGGAGCATCTTACTGAAGCTTTTTATGCTTTTTTGGTCAAGATTTGAATGGATATAGATCCAAAAAACGTTTTAGGTGTGGGTCTCCTTACAAGGGTCTTGATAATATACCGCACCAAGCATAAGCAAAGAAGAGGCAGCCCTCCTAGTTAAGCAACATATATCGCATATCAAGCTCTATCGGGCTTTTCTTTCTCCATGTAGCTGTAATTTGCGGGCAAGATCAATAATAAGCTCCTTATACGTTTTGCAACCACTACGCCAATGGAACCAAGGGCCACGAAACTCTTGATGCGGCCCTTGCTCAACCAAAGTCGATTTACAGCTCAAGTTTTCTCATTGGCAACCCCAGTTAGGCTTATTCTCATCATCAAAAAACACAGCCCAAAATCATGTTGTTCCTTGCCAGTGCCGACAAAACAATAAAATACCATTGACAATGCCAACGATGTCCTGGTACTGGGAACAAACATGCTTTAATAAAAAGTGAAGAACTTAAGGAGGCTATCTTTAAGAAAAAAACGGGTGAGTACACCAGGTGAGGAAAAATTACAGCAAAGGACAACAGAGAATCGAATTAAGCCTCTTCCCATCGGACAAGATGTGTACCATTCTGAAAAGATATTGCTATCTACACCTCAGCCCAGCAAATGAAAACTGACCCACTGCGCCCTGGCTTATAATGAGGCCAGTATGCAATGCTTATAATGAGGCCAGTATGCAATGCAAGTGCGATTGGGGTTCTTTAATTTTGTGTTAGCTATTCACGGATCTTTTGACGCTTTAACCAGACTTTTCATTCAATTAGAGAATATAAACGCTTGCAAGCATTTTAGTACGAAATTTATATCGAAACAGTTAAGCGGTGAGACAAAATCCTTTTTAACGCTAATTTGGCACCTTTGTCCACGGGCAATGGGGATATTGTAGCGAACGTGTGTAAACCTAGGCCTTCCTATAGCTGAAAAAAGACTCAAGACTTCCTTTAGTATCCATCCAGGTTAAAGGAAATAAACGGTAGGCCTGCGATCGTGCTATTTATTTATTTGGTATTTCCTAGAGATGCAGTCGGAGGTTTTTGTTAGACAATGTCCATGTCTGTTTCAGATTTCAGATTTTTTTCATTTTGCTAGGATTTCACTACCCTATAACGCAAAAATCGTGCCGATGCTGACATGGCACAGCATCACTTTATGTAGGCCTTTACTAGCCCCGCTGCCCCACCTAGTGAATCCTCTTGTTGAGTATATCGGTATCTTCACGGATATTCTAATATGCGTCAGAGAATTTCGGGAATAAGCTGATTTTTTTTCAGCCCTGGTCAGTCCTTATCGAGTATTTTTAAAAAAACTACATAGAAATAAGCTAGAGCTGCCTGGTGATCGCATTAAGCATGAAACTCGGAGTAGCAACTTGAAACCGTCCAGTTCTTTACACGAAATAGCGTGTACAGCTCTGCCTATACGGCATTAAGCACTTTATAACAGACTGGTAAACAGTAATTTTCGTTAGAAATACGTTACACACTAACATGGCTCCTAGGGTTAGGATTGAGACTATAGAGCTATATAGTACTTCGTTTCTTACTTCAAGTGCTACTGATTTACTTGCAGTTCAAGTTTCTATAACTGGAGATTTGGTAGAAACGAGAAGGTGTGGCCGTAACAAGATACCATGGAGATACATCATTAATCGTTTATCTTTAAGGTTTGATGTGTCGTGATCCATCAATACCTTCAGCTTCAAATAATTTAAGTTAAAACTGTGCAAAAAAAGGTTTTCTGTAATCATTAACGTGCAACGTTCTGGCTTATGCGGTATTAGGGTACGCAAAGCTCATTCAATCTAATGAGGGAAGCGCGAATAATTTGGGAAATGCGATGTCGACTCTCTGCATCCGACTAAAGAGTATCAATTGTTTAATGCAAAAATTTATCTCTTAATGATATTCCACTTTGTCTGTAATTCAACAGGATGTATTCCGAATCATGATTAATCAAAGAGGCATTACCTTTGCCACAAATGGCATCATCTTTGCTGATGTAGTAATCTGTGTCTGGCGATCGACAACCAGCCATGACTTTCAACTTTCTTCTTCTTCTTCTGTTGAAGTTAAATGACGATTTGGAAACAACTGCTTCCATGCGCTTATATAGTACTCACTGTTATTGTCGTAAACAATATCTTAATACGTGAATGTATTGACGGAAACATTTCATTAAACCTGTACGGTAATCTCCAGAAGTCTTGGCTGGAAAACCATTACCCCCCTGACCTAGCTGGTCCGCAAATTAGCGACCTCTTTCGAATGTCATACAGAATCTAAAGTGCCAATAAAGCCAGCCCACAGTATACAAAAAAACCAATGCTATTTATTCAAGAAAATTTTTTACGGTGATATCATGGTATGCGGCTATTCAATAAAGAGATTACTTAAAAAACACATGCACAGATGTTGGATATATTTCTTGAATCTTTCATGTAATTTGCAATTTTCAACAATTTTGTTATACAACCGAGGCAATTTGAAATCTATAAATTTTATGGACTTATGAAATATTAAAGTCTTTGACGATGCTAGAAATCGCCCGTTATAAAGGACAGTCATAGTTCTGTTATTTGAAAGTACTTAATGAAACATCTTCTAAAGTGTCTGATTCTAAAGCTTACAAAACATGGCCGCCAACTGTTTTAGATGTAATTATATTACTAGATTACTATTCAGTTCCCAAATACAGTATAATTATTCCTAGAACCTCGCAATATTTTATTTTATGTATAACGTTTCTGTTGTGCCTGTTTTAATGAAATCTTGAGCAAATTTCAGTATCCTACCAATGGAATTCTATAATGAAATTCGGTAAACAAGTTTTGTCTCCCGCCCTTTGCGTCATAACAGCTAGCAGCCTGATACTACACTCGCGTAGACTTTAGTTCGGCTCAAAGAACACTGTCAAGGTCGGTGCGTTGACAGAATGTAGTGCGTTAATTTTATTAATCTATGGTTAGGATACTGCCCACAGCGCATGTAAAGAAGAAAATCTGCGCAACTTTCTTTGCAGGCCTGGAATGATTGAAAAAGTAAGGTCTACCTTCTCTAGCTCCGACAAAAATGGGTATGACATACAACAATACCCTATAACAATGGCTATTTTGTATAAGAATGGTTATGACATATAACAATACCCAACAACAATGACTATTGTGTATAAGAATGTTTATGACATTCAAAATTTCAAGATTTTCATTTTTCCATCAATAGCCTAGTACAAGACAACTTTTTTTTAAGCAGATACTGAGGAACTAACTAAAACAAACTAAATGAAGCAATACGAATGAACAGTAACATATGTCTAAAAGAACGTGACTACGACTACAAATAAGGCGAATAGAAAGAAATCATAAAGATTGTACATTTGGGGCTGTGTTCAGTGAACTTTTTCGGTCGTATGAAGTTTTTACACAATTCACAGTAAAGCTTTGTATCAGAAGAGTTAGATTAGGGTTATCATTCTGCATTAAATGAATGAACCGATCTTCATTATTCATATGTCTAAATATAGGGTGCTGATGCTCGATTTGTTCAAAATGTCGTTCCCTGATTTCCCTTTTTATATCACATGCCATTAAGGCTTAATGATTAAGCAATGAATTTCATCTTCTAAAATGTTGCATTTAGTGCAAATTATCTTTTCTGGATTCTTTTTTGGTCTATGATATCTACCGACCTCTACCTCTAAACGATGACTTCACGCTTGAAATATATTTTTCAATCTTAAATGTAGTTTCTCAAGGTACAGTATGTTCTCATTTTCGGTTGATTTTTCGTGGATTTTTATACAGTGTCTGCCTTTAGTATTGTTGTATTATTTTATGTAAATTGCCCTAGTTCGGTAGCCATTATAACATGAAAATTCATTTTGGCGCCCCTGATATTTGATCGGCAGGGGGGGCAATTGCCCCCCTTGCCCCCTGCCAGCACGCCACTGCTACTACCCGTTGGTTTAACACGTCTGTAGCGCCAGTGGATCTGAATGTTTTAATTCGGTTCTCCCATATGTCTCCGAGTCCATGGCTGAAGCAAATGTAATTCAAACATCTAGACCATGTTAACTCTAATTTTATGTTACTTCGGTAAGCGTGCGTAATTATTTCATTGCTTTTTCCATAAGAAATACGAAGCAAATGTTCGTTAATGATCTGAAACCCAAAGCATGTATTTGTCCTCTGCCTAGCTCGCATCGAGAGGCAACATTTGATGTTGTTCGTTTTACTCCAAGTATACCTTTACAAAGCTTCAAGTTCAGCTTTTCGATTGGGTTATCATCATTGAAAGCATGCTTAAAGCAGCCCCAAACATCCACCCCGTAAAGAACTATGGGTTTAACAAGGCTATCGAATAATTTTAAAACTACAGGTTAAAACTACATTCTTCCGGAACAATTCTCCCAAACACGTTTTCATCTTGTAGTAAGCCTCCATAGCCCGTTTGTACAAGTCGTTCAGAAGATCCTTGATGCTAAGAAAAGGTGTCAGTAAGAAATCTGTATGACTAAAGCTTATACCCTATAACAATGGCTACGGCAATTTTGGTGAAGAGAAGTATACCTTTACAACCATGGTAAACTTTGAATGCATGAAGAGTTAGGATATTCATATTTTCTAAAGCTTAAGAAACTCTAAATTTGAGAAGCAAACTTTACCACAATATCCAGGGCCATAGAGTTTATGACGCCTGGGAAACGCTTTCAGGGGCGGATCCAGACTGACGTGCCCGCCTTATGAAAGTCAGTCAAAATTTTTCAACGTGTAGCAATTGAGCATAAAGGTCTACATGAACTGGGAAGTCTACATTAAGCACTACATGATTTGTTAAACGACGGGAAATTTTGCGTTGTTGATCCATCTTCATATTCTCTATATCTCCTTTTCAAAATCATCAGATCTGTCAACTGTATGACCAGAAACTATGTATGAAAATGGTCAAGGAAATGATCTATCCATAAATTCTTCTATGTAAATACACAACTTAATGCAAAAATCATTAGAACAAAGATGTTAGGGTTAAAACTAGCAATATGATTGGTAAGTCAGTCGAGAAATCTCCAAAAAGATCTTGATCAAATCAGTGATTAAAGTAAGAGATGGGATTTTAAGTTCTATCCGCAAAAGTGCAAAATATTGCGAATTTGGAAAAAAATCCCTTATTTGATTATTGTATGACAGATTCCGATGGCAATGAAATAATATTAGATGTTGTAGACCAAGAAAAGACCTTGGTGTGACCATAGACAAGGAGTTAACTTTTAGACAACACACTGATCTGACTGTTGCCGAGGCAAATCGAATTATAGGTCTCATAAGACGATCATTTACATACATTGATGAAAGGTCTTTTTAAATGTTGTTCAGAACACTTGCAAGACCGATACTTGAATCTGACAACCCCGATACAACACAATCTGACATCCACGCATTAAATCGATCGATGCCAAACTTGAATCTGTGCAAAGATGAGCTACAAAAATGATCCATGAAACAAAGAACCTAAGTTATCCCGAACGCTTCAAGGCTGTCAATTTACCAACTCTAGCATTTCGACGCTTAAGAGGAGATATGATTTAAGTATACAAACATCTGAGTGGAAAGTATGATGTTGGCACCATTCAGTTATTCAGCACAGATCAAAGAGAATTTCACAACACACGTGGACATCAATTGAAACTGGTAAAATCTGGCTCAAGGTTAAACATTCAGAATAACTTTTTCACAGAGATGCATCACTGCCTGGAATAGTTTGTCAGAAAGAGTAGTCCAGGCGCAAAATTTGAACATCTTTAAGAACAGGCTTGAGAAGCATTGAGAAGGACAGAAATTAAAACTTGAATTTTTTGTTTAAGAGTTCTTTTTTTTGATGTTAAGAATCAAGAGCTGAGGTTTCCCAACAGCAGAAGGGAAATGGGACGTGTCTGGAAATGAAATTTTTGATTCTCTCAACTTTTTGGATTTTTAAGTTCAGGAAATTCTAAGTTCCAAGATAATAAATGTACCCTCGAAGTTCCTGGTTTTTTTTCCAATTTGTAGGTCCTAACATGTTAGAATTTTTCACAACCGATCCCTACCGCTGCTCTTGAGCCACCTCTAACCAGTTTAATGAAAAAATAGTATTTTTAATTAGATTAATGAACAAGTGCAGCAGCGCTTACAACATTAAATTTTATATGTATATGTATAAATTAGGAATCTGCGCGATGCAAAAATGCTATTGTTCCCGTAAGTCAGTAGAGGCGATGTATAATCAATAAAGCCAATAATTTTTTAAGGTTTTAATATGAGAATTTTCCATGTCCAAGCGATGTATGGATTTCAAGACTGTCTTCAACTAACAATACCCTCCTGCACAGCAATTTTACATCTCAGTCTCAGGTATCAATGCTTGGCGAAAGATTATCGAGTAGTTGGTGTGATAAACTCTGTTCCAGATACAGTATGGATCTTTTGAAATCAATCAAGTATCTTATTGGTTCGAATTATAAAAAGACCCTTAAAAGAATTTACACTGAAAATATCAAGGCCACTGAAAAGCAAAGGTGTTACTGTTGTTTGGTTGGCCTAAAGGACAAGCAACGCAACATTCTATTCCCTGGAAAAGGCTGGATCTAGCAGGAGAAAAGTTACTTTTGCAAGAAGGTATGGTCTTAAATTTTAAAGTTGCAATATTTGCCAAGTAATAAATACTGTTAGAATTTAGCGAGATAATGTTATTTGCCATCGGAATGCTTTTTGGCGGGAAATTTGAGTGTGGGCAGCAGCAACAACAAAAGCAACGATGGATGTAAATTGTATTTCCAAACACGTATTACTGAAAATTTGGAGAAAGATCTGAAAAAACCTTTCTTTCTATAAAATTCTTGCTAGATTTGCTGCCTAACTGACTGCTTAACACACTATTCTAAGCTTGAGATTTCTGAATCAAATCAATTTCCTGGGAATCAAGGGCTTTTGGCACAAGTTGGAAGGAGGGGGTTAGATGGGGCAAAGGTAAACAAAGAATCAAGAACAAATATTTTGTAGAAAGCTCTTTTTCGAAAAAGTGTTGGTATGCAACCTTGCCCCCATCTTTTATTTATCTTAATCTTGCATGTATTTAAATATTGTAAGAAAGTATCAAATGACATTAGATTAGGACTCCTAATAGGAGCTATACCTCCAAAGATATTTAGATATTTTTAACTTTGAAGAAATAATTGAAGGGTCAAAATATTTATAGGTTTCTATCCTTTTCTTTATCAAGGCTCAAACACCATTCAAAATTTATTCAAT